TTTTAAGAATTTAAAATTTGTACAATTTATACGGATTATAAATAAAAGTTACAATCTCCTCCTTTTTCGGGCTTGGGACATGCTACATTCAACGTAGGCAAAGTTAAAATTGTACATGAATAAAATTTTTCGTGTAAAATTTTTGTTGAAACAAATAAACTTAAAAATTAAGTATTTTTTTTTTAACAAGGCTATAAGTGCAAGAAATTTCACAAGTTTTTGCACAGGAAGATAGTCCTTCAGAATTATTCTCTTTTTTTTTTTTTTTAAACTAATTAATTTAAAATTTTGAAATTTAAATTTGATGTGATTTAAAAACAACTACACGTTGCCTGTAACAAGACAGCTATGTTTAGCTGCATGCTGCTGATTTGATGATTTATTTTTTTAAAATGCTCGACTCGTCACGAGTTGGCTCGGATTTGGCCCGACACCCCAAAATAGGGCTTGGCCCAAGCATCAACTTGGTTCTATCTGGCCACTCGGACTTTTCCCAAATTGAGCTACAGACTATTTGAATCGACGAGTCAAATTAACACCCCTAGGTAATTGTTAAATCAACATTCTTCGACTCCATGAACTTTGAAACGAGTCCAAACATTCTAACTTCAATTTTCTTAGATTTTTCAGTCATAATAATTTGTCAGCTTTCTTCAACCCAACTAACGAAAGGTATTTTACACCTTCGCAATTCATTTTACATCCTTCCTTTGTTAGTTTTTGCTATTATGATAACTCCTATCGGTAGGGGTGAACAAAATACTTGTGAAATCGCAAAATCAGCCTTATTCAAGTCAATTTGAATTGGTTTGGTTCGATTTTCAAGTTGGACTGACCTAACTCAAAAATTCAATTCCCTTTTCTAAAAATACAATATAATCTTTCCTCTCTCATTCGAGTTCCAGACTCCATCTCTCTCTCTCTCTCTCTCGAGTTCGTGACCCCACCGTGAGTTCGTACACCACCACTATCATCAATAGTACAGATTCATCATTCATGGATCACCATCCATTGTGCAATCCGAATGAAAGCATATATGAGATTGTGTATTTGTCTCTATTGTTGGCATCAACACAATGTTGGGAATTGAATTGACATTTCTAGTGATGGTGATGGTGATTTCGTGGTGGAGGACCACAATGTAGTGGTGGTGTTGAGGAGAGACTTGTGGTGACTACGTGATCATGATTGATCTTTGGGTGATTCAGGATACAATCGAATTGAACATTCGATTCAAGTTGGACTCGCGTTTGGTTTGATTTTCAGGTTGGACTTTTTTCTAAACCTAAATGTTCATTTAGTAATCGGTTAAATCTCAACCCAACCTAAGCACACCCATCCTCGTCAAGGTTGTAGGGTAACCCCCCAATTTTATATCCTTAGTTTTATAGGATAATATAAAAAAATATCTTACTTTTATCCAAAAAGCTCAACTCCCTTTTTAAATTTTTATCAAAATACCACTTTTTACTAAAAAAATCAATAGTTTACATTTACTTTCTTTTATAATTTCCTTTTTAATAGACATCCTTATCATTTCAAACCAATATTAGAAATTTAATTAAAAATCAATATTTTCTACGATATTACATGTTAAGGTGACATTGTTGCTGGGTTATTTATAGAATTTAGTTAAAATATTAAAGTTTTTTTGATAAAGAACATATTTTAAGTGTAACATACATATTACTATATGACCTCTACCATAAATAAAAGAGGCAGTTTGCCTTTACTGTTCATAAGTCGTTAGCCTAGTCGATCCGAGCCAAACGACTTTATGGCT